GTGGCACTGCAGAAATTAAGAGGGAGGAAAGGACAGAAGAAATGCACGCGAAGGTGCGGAAGCCTTGGGCAAAGGGAAGGCGCGCAGCAGTGTGTAGGAAGGAATCGGCTCAGAACGTAAGCCTGGAATTGTACAGAGCTTTAGAGGCCAAGGCAGAAAAGCGTTAAGACAGCTAGAAGAAGATATCAGAACCAATCAGGGGATTTAGGAAATGAGGAAAATTACAACGTAACAGTAGAAGCCTGGAGATTTTCATGGGAGTGTCTTTCACAAATTGGAAATCAGGCAGTTTCTATAGGGCCCAGGCAATCCTTTTTGGTTGAAAACAAATACCTGTAAGACGCTAATTCTGTATTTACTTGCAGGTATCTGAATATACTGTTGTGGTCAGTGGTAAGAAACAGTCAGATTAAGTTGGTCCTATTATTTTCTAAATATCTGCAGCCCCTTTTGCTCAGCTTTTATTTCTGGAGCAGACAGCTTTTAGGGGCTTTACTATCTTTAGGGCATTTTTAACAGTAGAAAATACTACAACTTTGGAAAATGAAAAACTCTTTCTGAATGCTCTGAAGACAAAATGATGCCATCCTCACATTACAAATTCACAATTTACTTCTTGAAGCCTCTTTGTACTTCTGGTTTAGCTCTTTCACCAGTAAAGAAATTCTTGGTTTAAGGAATAGCTAACATCCTCTAGTACCCATGTTTCTCTAACTATGGCTATTCTGCTGTGTTCCTATCCAAATGCCTTGTCTGCAGGGGGCACATTGGTACTTTAGGTCCTCCATTTTGTTGTCTAGGCTTCTTCTGTCAGTTTTGAAAAACCTAAGCTAAGTCAGAAAAAAAAAAAAAGCTTCTTAAGATGTGCAGTTTTACTCATTAACTGTACTACCTGACAGCTGATGTCACTGATACCTAGTACTTCATGTCCACCCTTCTGCTTTCTCATCTACCCAGTACTGCATTACCACTCCTCAGATCTGGTCCTTTCTCCAGAAGTACAGGCTGCACGAATTACTTCCCCTTTTCTCTCTGTTCCAGTTAAAGTTTTTTGTGCTAACACCACTGCCAGGACATAGTATCACCAAGAAGATTCCATGAACACCTCCAATGGAAAATAGCCCAATGGACTCCTTGCAGCAATAGTTTAATACACAAACTTATTTTCACTGTTTCATCACACCTTTAATTTCCTTTTCCTGGGACTACAATTCCAGTGAATTCCCCAGACCTCTGCTTCTGTGTTATCTCAGGACACTTTTTTTATCTGGTGTATCAACACAGAGGGCAACCCCGTTGCTACTACAGTATCCTTATTCCCAGTCCCTTACCAAATCCAGTTGTCCCAAGTAGAAGAGGAACTGTCTAATTTCATTTGCTCCAACATTTCTTTTTGCTTTGCTTATTCCAAAGTCTGTAACAAACACCCCTCCAGTTCCATTTTTCCTTTACTACCACTTACAGCTACTTACAGCACCTACACCTTGCATTCTCCTATTTACATTGATAAAAATGAATTGAAAAATTCCTTTCCATGGGTAATTTCAGGCTCTTCTTCAGATTCTAAGTACTCCTTCCAGCACCCTTTCCATCTGCATAGCAGATTCCTGCTTCCAGCCGCACCTGTGTTTGAGTAATCATTTCTATGAGTTCTACCAGACAGGATTTTAATTAAACAGTATATTCTCAAAAAGGAAAACAGATGCTGTAACATCAGCCTTCTTCAACCATCAGCACTCACTTCAGATGCATTTAAGATTCACAGTGATTGTGGAGCAATGACACCTGCAGTGAACTGCCCAATAAATAATTACTCTGGCCCTGTATAATAAATTACAGCCTGCTCCCTGTGTGCTGCCTCTTTCCCAGTGTTTCTGGGAGTAGTTTTGGCAGTAGCCCGCTTCCAGGTCCATGATGTTGCAATGGTTGTACATCAGGTTACTTACAGTTCTGAGGAGGGACATGTAGCATGGTACCTACAACCAGAATTACTTAATGAGCCCTAATCCCCAGTCCTAGACCAAACTGAGGAGCTCTGGAGAAAAATGAATTACATTTTTTTCTGTGGTGGCACAACCCACGTATATGCTGCATTTTCATCCAAGAATTCCTCAGATTGTGGCCAGGAACATTTGCCAACAATCATCTATTTATTTCTAGCTTTTGGCCTTTTCCCTGCAAATTCAGCGCTTGCGCTTCTTTCAAACCTCCTGAGCATGCGCCATGCATCTTTTCCAACAATACAGGAACTCAAAATACAGGCTTTACTCACTGTGGAAAAGGCAGCATAGCCCTCCTCTTTATAAAAATTGAGTCACAGAGCATATGGACACACACACTGCGATTCAAAAGCCTCTAAACTACACATACAATCAGTTTCATCTGCTTGACCATTTCTACTATTGGTAAAAAGCTAGCTGCACACTTGCCTACATGGCGCGATCTGATTGACAGGGTGTCTATTTTTTTTGAGAGCAATCAGGCTATACACAGAGCTCCCTGGAAAAGCTATTCTCTCTCAAGACCACTAAAAGTCAGGGGACTCTCTCTCCAGACTACATCATTGTACAGTCTGTCTCCCAGGGCTCAAGCTATATGGCAAATAGCTTGCCATTGGTAATTCATGTACCTTTAATTTTTCTGGGAGCCATTCCCTTAATACAAGCCAAATATTCACAAGTGATACAGTTAATAAGATTTTATAACTGCATTACTGATTTGTGAGGGAATTTTACTATAATTCTGGAGATGCTTAAAAAATTAGAATCAAAGATTAATTCTGATAATTACAGTTTCTTTTTGCAAATGTTTTAATGCGGAGTCTCACTACAAACACATTGATATTACCAGCAGTTGCTTGCTTTGAAAGAATGCGTAGTTAATAAACTGATAGGAAATGAAGATAACTTTCAGTCATTCCTGCCATGTGGTAAGCTTAAAGACTAATCTCAAAGTTTTGTACTAGAACTAGAAATAAAAATCTCTGAAAACTTTAAAATAAAGCTATTCAACTTGATACTGGGTAAGAAGATCAAGCATTTTATCAGTTTACATGACCATCTGATACTAAAACATTTTGGTTAACACTATTTCCTGAAGTACAATAATCAGGTAAGTGATAGATATAGGGGAAAAGACAATTCTCTAGAAAATGATTTAAGTTCAAAAAAACCAGCTACTGAGGGGTCTTCTGTACCTCTGAAAACTGAGGGGAAAAATTCTCATTTGATAATTTCATTGTACTAATTTTTTTTCATGCAGCATAGACATTGCTTTTATTTAATTTCTTGGCATTCTGTCAGAACTTCTACCAGCATTAAAATACAAAATCTCATGGAGCAGCTGGAATGACAGAAAGGTCTCCAAAGATTTGTCCATATAAGAAAGTTACAAGCACAACTGTCCCAATATAGTTGCACAAACCAGCTCCCTGCAGGTAGAGCTCTCATTTAGCATCTCAACAGAAAAAGCTAAAGTGGGAAGAGAACGCACTCATTCCAAGTAACTAATGAGTGCGCTCATTCTTGTAAAACAGGTATTAAGTGAATAGTAGGTTTAACAGGTATACAACAAATAAATTCTACTGCCTTAGAGGGAAAAGCCCTGTGGCAAAAATCTCTGTACTCAGTGGGATAGAGCTGGGTATGCAAAGCTTAAACATGACATCAAAGAAAGTTTTGGATTTTTGTTTACTTTTCTAGAAACGAGTTTCTAAAAACCCTTCTGGTACATCATGAATGTGCCCAGCCCGTGGAGATCATCTTTTGGTTCCATAAAATCTGTATGGGCTATATCCATATTTTTCTAAATTCTTTGAAAAATAGCTGCTTTTATTGCTAACCTGAGCTAGCCTTCCCTAACTAGCTACAATTTGTTTTCATGATGAAAAGTCAGAGAGTTTAAACAATTATGATGCACTTAAATTCTTTGTGCTTCTTCCTCAAGATCAACTGCCTATGAAATTAGACCAATATAAATTGCTGCTACGGACTAGAGTTTATTGGTCCGTTCTTATGCTCTTTTTAGGCACATCGTTATCTTGCATGAGCTTACAGTTTTGTACTACCTGTGCAGTTCAAACTGACAGCTAGAAGCAGCTCCATATAGACAATTCAAATAATTACCATAAAAATCCTCAACATTCTTACCAAGTAATCTTTATGACACAGATTACAGAAGCTGTGGAGAATGAGTAAGCAATTGTTCTGACTGAGGTAGTTCCTATGGAGATTATGTTACTGAAAAGCTTCTTGGTAATCAGAGCAGACAGGAGTAACCCTAATTTACATGAGATACTAGGAATGCATATTATACTATGACCTTAAAAAGAAGTCCCTGCTGTTTTATTAAACAAGTTAAAGCCCATGCCACAGAGAAACCAGCAAGTTTGCAAAATCATTTTTCCCCCCCTCTTGTAAAATAAGCTGCCTGCTAACACAAAGGAGCCACCCATCCCCATTTCTTATGAAGCATCTGCATTTTCATTTGCAATAGTATTCTTGTGACTTGTCAACACTTTTTGCAGCATATGGGTTATGCCACTTATCAACTGGAACAGTGGGTCTGTTTTGAACATTGTTTTATGAAGCCTGAATACCCTGGCCCTGTCCTCACCTGATGCAGTATAGAGTGCCTCCACAGATGTACTACTCACGATCTGGTAGGATGTGTTCTAAGACATGAATTTTCAATTATTCCTTCTTGTTCAATACAGTTACATATTTCTTAATGGTTCAATGCATTAATCATATTTGACTTTTGCATTTCATTGTTGTTCTCTTCTGCCCTTGTCTCTAAGTTCAGGTTCCTTTCATCAACCTTGGAAGATTCAGTGGGTCAATTTCTTTTCCATTAAATAATTACCTCACTATTTCAATAGCATGTAGTTTTAGAGTAAACTTAATAGTATCCATTACTGAAAGATGACATTAGTTTGATGCTTAATTATAGCTCTCAGACGATCCTTTAAAAACAATGTAATAAAAACCATCAGCAAAACACCTTCAATAAAAAATAATAAAACATTTTACTCTTGTTTTCAATTTGATCCTATCATCGAAGATGGCAGAAGAAAATGGACCAGCTGGTTGTCACTTGCAGTATCTATCTGCTTTCACTTTTGCTCTCCTATATGGAAAAAGTAATGAAACAGGATTTAGATTAAGACCAAATATGGTGTTTTATTTGCCTTAAAGCGTTAAGGAAGGATTGAAAGCAAATTTTTCTTAAAACTTTACTTCAAAGTGCATATAAAAGCCTAACAACACTCTGGATTTGTTAATTAACTTTGCTTTCTTAAGGAGCTAGAACTGCAATGTTAACCTTGTCTTTCCCTTCAAATCATCATGAATTGTGTTTTTCTGCTTTCAGGAATGGAATTCAGACTCAGTGCAATTTAAAACTCACACTCAACCTGTGATGGACCAGGGGTGTTCCCACATCACTTGCAATTATCAGAAAGTAGTCTTCTGCATTCCATCCACTGAATTAATTGAAATATTTACACTGTATACAGACACGAAATGTTTTAAAAATTCAAGACAGTTTCTATAGTCTCAGCTCGGGGCGGGGTGGCGGAATTTATTCCCAGTAGGTAACATAAAGACTGTTCTTAATGAATGTTATTTCTCTTTAAAATGCAACTTTCCCCTCCCCAAAATGTTCTGGTGCCATAGGTATTGAAAATGTTAAATATTAGCTTAATTTTTGTGATTGAAAAGATTCATTCCTCAATTCCTCTGTACTAAACAAACTGAACAACCTAGTTAAACGTTTCCAAAGGAATCCAATTTTGGGTAAAGCCAAACCTGCAAACTTCAGCTAAAGTAAAAATTCAGAACAAAAAAGCAAGCCAACCCCAGAACTCATGCAGAACACAGACCGGAGAGGAAATGTTCAACACCGCCCCCCGCCCCCAATCTCGCTCTCTTTTGTACCCCAGGTTCACTGTAATTCCATCCCAGTAGTTTTTCAATCAGTACATTATTTCTTGTACTTTGAAGTACCTGTCAAGCAGCATTTCATGGAAAGTGCCTTCTTTCCTGGCTTTTCTAAGGGCTTTTGTATCTTCTTTGCTTATTTTAAGCTTTTTGTCTTGAAAACTTTGGAATTTCTTTCTGTAAGGGGAGGAAAAATGTAAAAAAGTGTAACTTCTTTAAAATGTTTCAATAAAACAGCTGTGATAAGAATCTTAACTTCTATTATGCAGTAGACAACGGGCCTAATAAAATCCAGCAAATCATCACAGTATCAAATATTGCACTAAGACTTCTGTAAGTGAAAACTAATCAGGTTTTTTGGTAGTCTAAGTGGGAACGAACCCCTATATGATTAGCATGATGCAGTCACACGTTCTAAAGAGCCACTTCTTCAACTGCTAGCATGACAAGTCAGGGAGCGAAAGTGTATTGGGTGTAGGTGGTAAAGTGCTGGTAGTGGGGGAGCTGCAGTGGTGGCCTCTGAGACAGAAGGCCAAGGGCTGCCCCGTGCTGGACATAGCTGGCTCCACAATGGATCCACTGCAGGACACAGCTGCAGCAAAGCTGGTGACACCTCTGTGAAAACATATTAAAGAAAGGGTAAATGCCACACAGGCAGAGGAAGAGAGAAAAAAAGTGCAAAATGGCAGTGTGAATATCAAGGACAGAGGAGGAGAGGAAGGAGGTGTTTCAGGCACTGGAGTGAATATTCCCTTACAGCCTGTGGAAAGGATAATGCCAGAGCAGGGGAAAAGTGGGAAAGAAATGGCAGTGAGAAACCACTATGTATTGACCCATACCCCCCATCCTGCTTTGCAGAGCAGCTGGAGGAGTCTGGAGTGAACCTGAGCTTGCGAGATGGCGGAAAGACAGGGGATGTTTTTTATTTTTGTCTTTGTTTCTCACTACCCAAATCTATTTTAATGGGCAACAAATCTAATTAATTTTCCACAAGTTGAGTCTGTTTTGCCTGTGATGGTAACTGTTACGCAATTTCCCTGTCTTTATCTCAACCCATGAGCTTTCTCATCCTATTTTCTTCCCTTGTCATGCTGAGGGGAAAGTGAGTGAAAGGCTGGGTGGCAGTTTGGCCCTTCCACCAAAGGCAGCCCCAAAGAGAACTGAAAAAAAGTACTTGAGCCTTTTAACAGCTCTAAACTACGTACACATAATTGATTTCACACTGTTTAACATCTCCTTTGTCTTCTTGTGGAACATCATCTTTCTTCTTCGCTTCTCTTTCAGCACAAGTACGAATCTAGTCATTGAGAGAAAAAGCAAAAACAGAAAACGTCTGTATTTTTAAAACCAAAAATTACAGATCAAAGATGACAATATAGCCCTTGTAACAGAATGAGGGTCACTGTGACTTTTTAAGTTCACAGCTTTCAAATGGATTAATTCGCAACTGCAATAAAAGCAAGAACTGCCTGAATTATGAGAAATACTAAGTGTAATCCTTGATATTACCATATGAGATAATTGCCTAAGAAGCACCATGATAGTTCTTCGCTTTAGCAGGAGTAGAATGCCTTTTTCAGAGACTGACTTAAAAATATTATTGCTCTGACTAGTAGACACCTATCTCTATTTGGAGACACGTATATTTTCGATGTCCAGATAAAGTCAAGATAGTCCTTTTACATTCTCTTACTTAAAAGATCTCTCCGTCTGCATCGTTCTGGTAAACCCTTCTCTGTCCCTGCTTCAGTCATAATTATCTCTTCCATACCAAGCTGTTCAGAACTATCTGGAATATCACATAGACTATCTTGCCCCTCAACATCTTGCCCTTCTGTAGTGGTAAAATATCTTCCCATGTCTACTGGAAGTATCTCAGTTTATGCAGCCCTGGAGCTCATTTACCTTTCTTGTGGCCAAATCACTTGACAGCTTATAGAAAGCAATTGTAATTGTATTCACAGTAAATTGTAGAACAGAGGCACCTGGTTGTTTGAATATCCGTGCCAACCTTGTATTAATTGTCAAAGTTATAGATTACCTTTATCATTTCTTCTTCCCCTGCAGTTTTGCTTTTGGCTTCTATGTCTCCCTCTTCATTACATCTAATAAAACGGCTATTTGCTGCTAGTAATGCCATTTTCTTCTGCAGAAATAATATCACATATTGTTAGTATAAAGAGTTTGTATATAAACATTGATGTATAACATTTATCCTCTACAATACACAAAAAAAACACTGTAAATATGTTTGATTCGTTTATACATGGACACTTCAGTAGCCAGCCAGCAGACTTATTGTTAGTATAAAGAGTTTGTATATAAACATTGATGTATAACATTTATCCTCTACAATACACAAAAAAACCACTGTAAATATGTTTGATTCGTTTATACAAGCAGACTTGCTGGTTCCTTCGTTCTCAAGACGCTAATAGCTGCCAAAATGCAGTAACCTGAAGTATTTTCAGAACTTCCAATTATAGTAGATGGACACAGTTGGGAAAACAGATTTTTCTACAATATGGAAGAGACTGCAAAAGGCTTTTAGTCCACAGACAAACAACAACAATATAGATTAACTCAAAATACAGTCAAATGCTAGGAACATCAAATGAACTATTCCAAACAGCTTACATCTTGGAAGACAGGTTCCCATTGCTCTCTTGATCCTATTGCATCTGAACGTCCAACAACAAGTCCATCTGAATTTATACCAAGGTATTTGCCATAACCAGACTTCAGAGCAATCCTCAAAGAGAAAATGCAGGAAAACAATAAAGAATGGTTTTAATTCAAGCAATTCAGAATATCCAGCACATCACAAACATATTATTAGCAGACAATGTATTTCAAGAGAATATTAAAACATGTATTCACACTAGAAACAAAGATAACAAGTATCAAAACTTGTAATGTTGTTAGAGTAATTACCTTGTATCAGACAACTTTACTGCTGTAAACTGTTCAGGAGGGCTAGGGCCTTCATCATCTGAGGAATGATTTTTCCATTAGTTAGGTATGAAGTATTAAACATACTATATTTTAGCCTGTTAATATGGCAGTTTCAAAAAGAATTAAACATTGGCCATTGCTAAGTACTATGGAAAGCTGCAATACTTTATTTCTTTAAAAATTCCTTTTTTGAATAGTCACTTTTAAAAAAGCAGTGCAGGTGCTCATTTATGTTCATATATTTAGAGTGCTTAAAACAAGACACAAAATAAAGACAATCCTTGTGTAAAGAAATTTACAGTGAAGAATGTTTCATAATTCACCAGGTGGCTTTGAAAATCTTAATCTCCTTGTAATGTTATTTTTTCCATAACAAAATGTATTACAGTTCAGCTACGGTAACACAAGTCAATATCCTAAAAGCTACTAGCCTCTCCATCCCTCAAAACCAGAATGAGATAATATTGCCATCATTGCTTTGATCTCACCCTGGAGGTGAAAGGTGTCAAGGCTCTGGAACAGCCCTTGTCTGACTGATGGCTCTCAAATTCAAAGTAAGGACAAGCTAATTATCTCACCATGTTAGTAGCCCACTTGTGCGGCAACAAAACAAGTATATTAAGATAAGGATGCAACAATAAGCCTTGAAATTCATCTGCCTTGAGTTTTGCTCTTCAACTGACAACATAAAGATTTTTATAGGATTTAATAAAAGTTATACTGCTTTTTAACTAGTAAGTGGTATGGCCTTTAACAGGTGATCACCTCCAATGCAGTTCAATTTGTTGTACACATAAAACCACAAGAAACTAGATACGTGAAACTGATTGGTAGTCATTAGGTTTAAGTCATCTGCACCCTACAGCTAGGCTCATAGCATTATTTGTAATAAACTGCTTTTAGTTGTTAAACTGCTTGCCTTTAAGTGATGCTACTTTTATGCTTTTCATTACTACAACCGCTTATTTCCAAATTTCCTGAAACAAACCTTTATGTGGTGCTCCAAGTGTAAACAAGCCGTTGTCGAGGGCATGGATGTAAGCTCCTTTATCCATTTCTATAGCTATAGTTCCTGTAATTTCACCAAAATTACTGATAGCCCACCAGTTTCCTAAAATACAAAACCATGACAGTTAATAATTACAACTTCCGATTATAGTAGTTCAAGAGATGATATTGCTGTGTCTTCTCTGAGATTTGAAATTCTAAAGATACAATTGCTCTTGCTCTCAAGATCTTTGTGCATTATTTTATAGTAAGCCTTAGACTTCAGTTGTTCAAGCCAATGTGTTTGAACGTTTGAGTCCCACAGAGTTCTACCAAAGTTAAAGGTAGCCCTACCCACATGAATGAATTAGAATTAGGATGTGTTTATGGTTTTTAAACAGTAAATTTTTCTTCTGGTATACTGTCTTACAAATATTTCCTACCTGATTAAGATAATAACTATTTTTAATTAATCTGAATATGATGTCTTTTTTTCGATGATAAGTTTGGCAAGTCAATCTGCCTTGAGAAGAAATAATCTTCCCCTATCTTTATACAACGTACAGAGCTATTATCTTGTCCTATGCAATCAGGGCTCTCAGATCAATGTATGAATTTTCCAAGTGTCTCCCACTTTTTTGAAATTTGGCTAAACTAAAGAATGTAGAACAGCTGTAACATTCTTCTAGTGTAAGACACAACAGCCCATTTTTTCATATAATTCAGATGGAACAAGGATGACTTCCCCTTGCACTGCTTTAGCTTATGCTTATATAAACATATTAAAAAATGACATTTATCCTGTCATGTGCACTGTGCCTCAGTATACATCTGCATCTCTCATGACTTTGTGGTTCTTTTTCAGCTGTTTTGTTTGTGAAGTGAACTATGACCAATCAAGGACATGACAGTGCCAAACGGAAACAGCCTGTCAAGTTACTGCTCGTGACCATACATACTTTAATCCTTCTATTTTATGAAAAATGAAAAAGTAAAGTTATATTTTGTTACTGTTTAATGTTTATGTTTTCAGTTTCAATTAACAGTAGCAAATTTATAATGTGAACACATCACGGCAGTCAAGCGAGTATGTAAAAATAAAAACAAATAAACAAACTAACCATGACACTTTTCCTTTTGAAAGGATTGCAGGTTTGAGTGAACTAAAGAATGCGGTCAGAAAGTAACTATGCAGTTAGAAAGTGGCAGAGTAAGAACAGAAAGCACAGGTGATCCAACCACTAATTTTCAAAGGAATAGTAACAAAAGATGTAAGTTATTTACACAGAAATAACTAATTATTATTAACTAACTCATTAACTAACAGCAGTAGAGTGCTAAAAAGTCCCTCCTCCTTAAGCAAATTCCTTCAGT